ACCCGGCCCCTGCACAGCGAGGATGCGCCGGGGACCGGAAGGGGGGGCCGAGGGGCGAACCGGCCTGACTCTCCCCGGAAGTGAGGGCCGAGGGGAGAACCGGCCTCAGACTCTCCCGGAAGTGGGGCCGAGGGGAGAACCGGACCCAGACTCTCCCGGAAGTGAGGGCCGAGGGGAGAACCGGACCCAGACTCTCCCGGAAGTGAGGGCCGAGGGGAGAACCGGACCCAGACTCTCCCGGAAGTGAGGGCCGAGGGGAGAACCGGACCCAGACCCTCCCGGAAGTGAGGGCCGAGGGGAGAACCGGACTCAGACTCTCCCCGGAAGTGGGGGCCGAGGGGCGTGTCCGCCTCCCAGACTCGCGCACACGGGACAGACTGCTGTTCAGAAGCGAATGGGCTGACGACCTCACAGCGTCTTTGGCAGCCCTGGGTATTTTCACTAAAAGAATTATAACTTGACAGGTAAAAAATGGTGCTTTGAGCCGGGCTCGGTGGCTCAGCCTGTCATCCCGCGCCTTTGGGAGGCTGAGGTGAGTGGATGGCCTGAGCCCGCGGGTTCGAGACCCGCCTGGGCAGCGAGACCTCATCTCTACAATAAATCAAAAAATCAGCCGGACGTGGTGGTGCACGCCTGTCATTCCGGCTCCTCGGAAGGCTGAGGCGGAAGGATCGCCGGAGCCCAGCCGGTCGAGGCTGCGGTGGCCGGGAGCGGCCGCTGCCCTCCAGCGGTCTGGGCGACAGAGTGAGACTCCCACTCAAAAAAAAAATGGTGCCTTGTTATTTTCCGTACATTTCTTCAATTAGCAAGAAAGTTGGCTGTTTCCCCACATCTGCTGCATTTGTTTTTCCTCTTTTTGGTTCATCTGTTCAGGGTCTTAACCCACATTAATCTCTTGGTGCTTCGCGTGTGTCTCTGTGTCCCTGGACCTGGCAAAGTGGTTAACGCTTTGCCTTCCGAATAGGGATTAGCTGGATTTTCCCGTCTTTCCTGGGATTCACCCAAGGCTCGCAGTTTCCCCGTTCGTTTGTCCTTTTACTTTCTTGACACTGCCTCTTTGAGACTCAGCTGGCTGGCAAGACCGCTCGGGCCCAGGACACACTCCACCCATGCCGTTATTCCTGACCAGGCTTCAAAATGAGCCCTGAACCAGGGGCGTGTGAGCCGCATCATCGATAGGATTTAACCAATTACAGTGTCAACTGGAGGGGAAACTCACTTCTTTGAACATCACACAATGTGGTGAGACTGGAGTCGAAAAGCAGAGCAGTCCCTGAGGACTCCTTGACTGAGGGGCCAGTTCGCGGCCGGTGGGAAGGAGCTGGCCCCTTGAAGCCTGGCCCCGCTGAGAAAGCAGCAGGGCAGGTGTTGGAGGAATGCCCGAGGCCTGAGGGCTGGAGCGAGCTCCCAGCTGCTGCCTGGCCTTGCCCTCCCCGTGCTGTCCGGGAGAGAACGCGCCCCCTCCCCGAGCCAGGAGGCCCCCGGCCTCCCTCACCTGTCCTTGACACGCAGGATGAGCTGGTGGAAGCGGTCCACGTGCTCGAAGCTGGCCTTGTCCGTCACGGAGAAGACGATGAGGAAGCCGTCCCCAGTGCGCATGTACTGCTCCCGCATGGCGCTGAACTCCTCCTGGCCGGCCGTGTCCAGGACTAGGGCAGGACAGGGCTGCTGAGGGGCTGTCGCCGCCCCCCCCCGCCTGCCTACCTGCCTGCCTGCTGTCCCCACGGCGGCCCCGTCCGTCCAAGCAGCCCCACGGGGGGTTGCCAAGCTCCCTGGGGCTGGGCAGTGAGAGGCCTGGCGGGACGTCAGCCTCTCAAAGCCTGCTTCGGGGTGAGGCTCTGACTATGGCAGACCCACCAAACCCTTCCCCGGTTTTAAAAATGATTTACTTATTATTTTAGAGATGTGGGGCACAAGTCAGGACTGGGTGCATAAGTGGTCTCCGTACAGGTGAAGGTTGGGCCTCCCGTGGGGCCTCACTTCACCTGGATCGGGATCAGGCTCTCTTACGATCTTATATCCCCCACAAGCCCCGGCAGTGTCCCGGCTACTGCCAGTCTCTTTCTTGTAGTATTGCATGACAAATGTTCTAAATGGACGGAAATTGGAAGCACCTCCCTGAAAACCAGAACAAGACACTGCTGCCCACTCTCACGCCTCCGGTTTAACATAGTATTGGAAGTCCTAGCCAGAGCAATCAGACAAGAGGGGAAATCGGGGGTATCCAAATAGGAAAAGAGGAAGTTAAGCTATTCCTCTTTGTTGACGATATGATCCTATATCTTGAAAGTCCAAGAGAATCTGTCAGAAGCCTTCTTGCACTTATAAAGGACTGTGCCAAAGTCTCAGGGTACAAAATCAACACGCCAAAGACAGCCACGTTCTTATGCACCAACAACAAACAGGCAGAGAATCAAATAAAAAGCACAATTCCATTCACAATAGGCACAAAAAATGAAATACCTCGGCATCTTCCTAACCAGAGATGTGAAAGACCTCTACCATGAAAACTACAAAGAAGTCAAAGAAGACACAGACAAATGGAAAAATATTCCATGCTCACGGATTGGAAGAACCAACACTGTTAAGATGGCCCTCCTACCCAAGGCAAGCTACAGGTTCAATGCGATACCCATGAAATTACCAGCATCATTCTTCTCAGACCCTCCCCGATTTCAGCCCCTGGTGCTCACTGGGCCTAAATTCGCTTATCTGTAAGACTGGCCTCATAGGCTCAGTGATGAAGTCGGCTACAAAGTCCCTCGGGAAGTCCCCTGCCTGGGCTTGGACCCTGTTCCACGTCCCCTACAAATTGCGATTCTCAGGGAAGTCACCTGACGCCTGAGCCTCCATTTCCTCCTCTGTCAAATGAAAACCATCCCTCCACCTTGCAGCCTCTGGGGGAGGAGCGCCCTGGACAGGCCGCCCGGGCAGGAAGGTCCTCAGCCCCTGCTGGACCCATGACGCCAGAGGCCCAGGGAAAGGAGTGGCCCTCGGCAGCTGGGGTCAC